TGCTGTGGGGCTGGGGCCCTTGCCATAGGGCTGGGACCTGTCATGGGGCTGAGGCCTTGCTGTGAGGCTGAGGCCTTGCCATGGAGCTGAGGCCTTGCTGTGGGGCTGAGGCCTTGTGGTGGGGCTGAGGCCTTGCCATGGAGCTGAGGCCTTGCTGTGGGGCTGGGGCCTTGCTGTGGGGCTGGACCCTGTCATGGAGCTGAGGCCTTGCCATGGAGCTGGGCCCTATCACGGGGCTGAGGCCTTGTTGTGGGGCTGGGGCCTTGCCATGGAGCTGGGCCCTGTCATGGGGCTGAGGCCTTGCTGTGGGGCTGAGGCCCTTGCCATAGGGCTGGGACCTGTCATGGGGCTGAGGCCTTGCTGTGAGGCTGAGGCCTTGCCATGGAGCTGAGGCCTTGCTGTGGGGCTGAGGCCTTGTGGTGGGGCTGAGGCCTTGCCATGGAGCTGAGGCCTTGCTGTGGGGCTGGGGCCTTGCTGTGGGGCTGGACCCTGTCATGGAGCTGAGGCCTTGCCATGGAGCTGGGCCCTATCACGGGGCTGAGGCCTTGTTGTGGGGCTGGGGCCTTGCCATGGAGCTGGGCCCTGTCATGGGGCTGAGGCCTTGTTGTGGGGCTGGTGCCTTGTTAGGCTGAGGCCTTGCCATGGAGCTGAGGCCTTGCTGTGGGGCTGAGGCCTGTCATGGTGCTGAGGCCTTGCCTTGCTGTGGGGCTGAGGCCTTGGGCCTGGGAGGTGATGGGGGTTCCCCCTGGCAGAGGGTGACAGCAGGCTCCCGTCCCATCCCATCCCGTCCCCCCACCCCAGGCAGCACCCATGGGTGCCCCTACCTGAGCGTGCTGCCTGCGGGGCTGCGGGAAGGGCTGGCGGAGCCGGGCAGGGAGACCAGGCTCCCCCGCGGGGGCAGCCCGTCCTGCTTGGCACCGGGGGCCGGCCTGGGGCTGCCCCGCTCCGTCCTGCCATGGCCGCCGTCCATCGTCGTTGCCGTCCCCCCCCAGCCTGAGTGGGGGGCGGCTGCCCGGGAGCGGCGGGGGGTGCTGGGGCTGGGG